TGGGGATATATGGTTTGTCTAGTTCAGTCCTTAACCAGTTACCGTGCTCTCATTTGTATCATATGAAATTACATTCTCCATTGATTCATTCTTAAAAGGTGAACTGTCACTTCAGAATTTTACCAATTTAAGAATGGGAGGCAGCAAAAAATTGGCTATATTGAAATGTTGAATACCAGTAGGCAGTCTGTGGAATTGAACCTTCTAGTTCTGAATGATAGATGAAGGAACCCTATTAAAACCAGCTATTTCAAGCACTGCCATCAGAGTTAGAATTGGACAGCATGCAGCAGGCCCTGTCTTTTTTTGAATTGAATGGAAACATAGTCTATAAACCTTTAATTAAAAGAAGGAGAAGGAAATATATGATAAACAAATGAAATTATTTACATCCCTACTCTAGTCACTTTATCCAGCTTACATATTTTCTTTTTAAATTTTGTTTTACAGCTCTCTTGGACAAAACCTTAAAACAAGCACCTTCATTGGAGAGATTCTCTTTGCTATCTTCATATCCATCGCTGGATTGGTTTTGTTTGCACTGCTTATTGGTAATATGCAGGTAATTCCTTAACATGGCCTTGCAGTAGGAAATGATGGTTAAAAAACGGTCCATATAATGGAATATTGTGATTCTGCTATCTCTATATCACAGGGCTGTCCTTTCGTGATTCTGCTGACAATTTAAGCCTACTGAGTACCATTCCCTTGAAAAAAGCACAAGATGTTTACCCTTACTTTTCTTTCCTTTCCCTACTCACAAGTGATAAATTATCTCGACCTTGCGAACTGTCTCTTTTGAGGCCCTTTCTTATGATTCAAAGCACTAAACAATTGTCCATCCTGGTTGTCGCAGAAATATCTCGAATCCACAACTGTTAGAATAGAGGAAATGAGAGTGAAAAGGAGGGATTCAGAGCAGTGGATGTCCCACCGAATGCTCCCTGATAACCTGAAGGAACGAATTAGGCGGCATGAACAGTACAAATGGCAAGAAACCAGAGGAGTGGAAGAGCGGGGGCTAATTCGTAATCTTCCTAAAGATCTCAGGAGGGATATAAACCGCCATCTTTGCTTGGATCTGATCAAGAAAGTGAGTTCTTTTCCAAGTCTTTGTCTGTGTTCTAATTTCTAGCATTATTGGATGGGCTCAACATGTGCTCAAATATTTTCTGTTGCCCTTTTTCTTTGAGAAATAACAATATCTAGAATGTTTAACAACTCTTCAGGTGCCAATATTTGAAAAAATGGATGAGCAAATATTGGATGCAGTATGCGATCGTCTCAAGGCAACTCTTTACACCAAGGATAGCTACATTGTTCGAGAAGGGGACCCAGTTGACGAGATGCTATTTATCATGCGAGGTCATCTTTTAAGTGTGACCACTAATGGTGGAAGAACTGGTTTTTTCAATGCTGTCTCTCTCAAGGCTGGTGACTTCTGTGGAGAAGGGCTTCTTACATGGGCCCTAGATCCCCAATCCTCCAACCTCCCTATCTCAACTAGAACAGTACAAGCTCTGTCAGAGGTTGAGGCCTTTGCTTTGGAAGCTGAAGACTTGAAGACTGTAGCTTCCCAGTTTCGCCGATTACATCACAAGGATATCCAGCACACATTCAGGCAAGTTTTCAGGGATCGTTTCTCCTTCCTTTTCTTCTCCTGTAGACATAGAGAGGGGCTGGCAATGGAATATTTCTCCTGCTATCATTCAGGGCCTGATATAAGCAGATTCTCTCAGAATTATGCAACTGGAACGATGGATTGCTGCTTTCCCTATAAGCTCTAGTGACTATTGCAAGTTTGCAACTGACCATTGTACTGAAGTCACAACTCTTATTGGTGACATTTTGTTTTCAGGTTGTTCTCAGTGCAGTGGAGGACGTGGGCAGCATGCTTCATACAGGCAGCTTGGCATCGTCACTGTAGGAGGAAGCAGGCTAAAAGCTTACGTCAAGCAGAAGAAAAACTGCAAGATGTTTTGGCAAACGAGGCCAGCACTGCACCAAGCCTTGATATTGCCATTTATGCATCCCAGTTCGCTGCCAACGCATTAAGAAATCTGCGGCAGAATGGAACACACGCAGCTAGATTGCCGCAGAGATTGTCATTTCTGCCTCAAAAACCAACAGAGCCGGACTTTTCCGCTCAACATCACAAGTAACAAACATTTCAAGTGACTCTATCCTAGTTTTGCCTCATATTTGCAAGCTCAAACGCCAGAGGTCTAGGTGTAAATTTGTATATAATAATGGTTTGAGCATTTAGTGTTCTGTGATTTTAACTGTAATCATTTTTGTACTTGCCCTGACAGGCTTGAAAAACGTACGCAGGGATATATATATTTCATCACTATCACTACCACTATATGTCTACAGTGTTGCCAAATACATCAATGTTGGCCGAAATGTTATATAGTATGAATCTATCAGAAACAGTAATCAGAAGATCCATTTCTTTTAGTTAAACTGTGAATTAGACTATATACACTTTTTATTTGTGCAAAAATTTCTACCGAGAGTAAAAGCATGGTTGAAAATGCAAAAACAAAAGGGAATATATATGTTTAAACTGTGAATTAGACTATATACACTTTAAAGGGAATATATATGCTTGTTTGTTTTTACATTTTAAAAGTGTTTTTAAAAAAATAATTTTAATTTTTTTAAATTAATATTTTTTTATGTTATCTTGATGAAGTTAATATTTTTATTCAAGTTAATTCACAGTTTGGTGAAAAAGTCTCAAATAGACATGAAAAACTCTCAAATAGAAACCTCGGAGCCCTAACACAAGCCTAGAAAACATTTTTCCTTATTTTTGTTGGATGTGATATTTTTTAAATAATAAAAAAAAACTTGGGATTATTTTTATTCATTTTTTTAAGTTTTACTCCATAGCAAATATATAAATAATAAATGAAATCTATGGCTCTCAAGAGTCTGCAAATACGAGTGATATGTTCAAAGCAAGGAAATTGAATTGTCTACAGAAACGAAAATGGTGAAGAAAAAAGAGCAAGATCTATTTTCCATCACGAATATTTGAAACAGGTTTCATATACAATACTAGAAATGAAAATGGGATTTGCACAGCAGAATACCTATTTCTATTTACACGTTGATATATAATGTTGCATGATTTGATGTTTCACGGACGTCTAGATTCAGCCTTGGAATTATTACCACGCTTTGTGTAGAAAGAATTTACAGCTGGAACTTCTACTCGGGGAGACACCATTGCAGTAAGGGGCTGGAAGTTTGTATTTCCAATAAACCAATAGAGAGCCCATTTCAAATTGCAGAGCGTGTACTTGAGTGCTTTGGTCCAATTCTCCTGCTTATTGAAGCTCTGTGTAATAGAGTGGTTTTCCACTTTGTCATTCTCAATCCTGCAAGATTTATTTGTATGATTATGAGTTGCAAGCAGCAAGGCACAAAAAAGAATTTCTAAACAAACATTACCGACCAATACGTTGATCCGAGGGATAAGTTTTTCATACCTTCATGTCCGTGCAAAAATTCAATAGCACCATCAATGGTGAAATCCTTTTACATGCATCTTTTTTCATTCACACACACACACACACACACGTAATCTAATTAAACAAAAATGTTAAAAGGTTCACCAAATACAACAGCTGACACCATATTGAAATTTCAACATTTGCTCCTTGAAACCAGCCATGTTTTGTAAAGCAACAGATGAACTTGAAAAAATTAATCCACAGAATTAGAAAACTTGGCAATCCATTATTTTGTCATATTTCATGAAGGGGACAAAACTTACTTATATGGAAGCTTGAAGCGTTTCTCAGGTGGAATGTTGTTTTCTTGATCCTTTGAATATGCAAACCCCGCAAAGTCCTTGAGGCATGTTAGGAACAAAGTCATTGCTTTATCATAGCGAGTACTCCAAAACAAGTTCACCGGACCAAACCTAAGAAAAGCTCATGTCAGCCTAAAGAATCCAGAAGGCAGTGAAAAATTCAAGTGTAAACCATATTCATAACTTGCAGATCCAATCTGACAACTAGTCCTAATGATCAAACCAGGCCACTCAGACAACTGGAACCAAAATTAAATCCACCACATCCCTTTTTCATGCATGCTGCATCATCTATTCATAGGATAAAGGTTTCATTCTTGAATTGCATTTCCCATAACAGGATAAAGCCTTCGTTCTCAAATCACATCTCCATAATAAATTGAATCATATTAGGAACACAATAATATATGGAGTAATTAATACTTACAGCTCGTAGATATTGTTGCTGCTGTCCATAATCCGCGGGTAACTCCCCATAGGAAGTATTTTTATTCTATATCTAGAAAGTAAAATTAAGGACATGGCTATCACTTTACATGATTTTGAAACTATGAACTTCAATTTTAAAAATATGCATTAAAAGCTCAAAGCCAGATGGTTTTCTCAAACAGAAGACTTATGGAAGGAAACACAAGGACTTTAACATTAGGTGTCCATCAAAGAAGGAAAAATTGAATGCCAAACGCAAGTAAAGTTACAACATATTCTATAATATAATCTCATTAAAAGATAGATTTACTACACAAGGTCAGATTTGCAAAACCTTGATAAATCAGACAATCAATTTTCTGCTAAAGCACATGTTTAAAACTTGTAAACACCCAGAGCAGGTTTTTGACATAACTAAATTGCCAAATATGTAACTCCACATCTAATGAATACTTGTATCTTTCATATCAAAGATATTTTTTGTTTCTGTTGAGTATATAAATTCCATTAAAAAGAAAACTTGCAGTGGTAGTGACAGCAGCTAACAATCAATTTAGACATATAAAAATAACACGGACTAAAAGTTATTATTACTTGAATAAAAAGATTAGTAGCTGTTGCCAGTATCTATTCTTAGTGCATTCAGGGTCCTGAAAATCAGGCTGAAACTACTACTTACAGAGTTAAGTGCACCACCTGGGATATGCTCGCCTAATAAAAATGCTAGAAAATAAGGTTAATAATACCACCACCTCTTAAAGGCAAGAAAAAAGTTCTTTATGTCAAGTCATTTCACAGAACAAAGAACTAAAAAATCCACCATGGTTTATGCTTCTCAAACATATGGCACATCATATATTGGTTCCTGTATTAACTTATCAAGATGCATCATTATATACTGGTTCCTGTAAAAATACCACCACCCCTCAAAGGCAAGAAAAAAGTTCTTCTATATGTCAAGTCATTTCACAGAACAAAGAGCTAAAAAATTCACCATGGTTTATGCTTCTCAAACATATGGCATATCATATATTGGTTCCTGTATTAACTTATCAAGAAGCATCATGTAGGTACTCGAGGACATGATCTTGTTTAACAATAAGGGCTAGTTTTTCAGCATCTCCATGCTCATTTCAGATTGAATGTATCAAGGAATTTTAATAGATTGTTTTTCTTCATAGATGACTGACAGGAAGCAAATATGTATTATGAAACAAAGGATACTGAAACTTTGGCTTGAAGTATTGGCACATTGTGTGAAGGAGAAGGCAGGCTTGACCCCAGGCAGCATTTATCTCATCCCATTCAACCTGCATGTTCATAAAACCCCATCAACAAATAGTAAAGAACAATGGCAAGACTAGAAGAAATGGTACTATATAAGAAAACATTACTCCATGTTTAACAGCAGCATAAAGTTATAAGACCTGCAGAACCAATCAAGACATCCTCACGCTTAGAAATAAAGAAGTATCCAAGCAAACTATTACACAGAAAAGAAGTCCCTAATAGCAGTTTAAATCAGCTTGATGAACGAATTCCTGTAATTGTCAGAGCAAGAGGACATATGCACTTAGGTTATTCTTTTACTCAACATGACCCTTGACCAGGAATTCTGAACACAGCCAGGCATGACCAACCATGATATCTATATCTCATCAACCCCCCTCCCCCCCCACCCCCACCCACAACAAAAAAAGAAAAAAGAAAAAAAAAAAAGAAAAGGCACTCCTCCTCCACTCCCAGATCTCTCTATAGATCCATAACCATCACCATTTGCCAATTTATATGAATGGCAGAATATTAGTTCATTATGACGAGTATGAGTTTCCCCAAAAACACAGAGTACATGACTTAAGAGTACATGTTTAAATCTGCATCTGTAAAAGCACATAGACGATAGACCATGTGCCACACTGTCTGACAAGATTTCCCTGTTGAATGCTTTACAAATAATCTTCAGCACAGAAATTGAATAATCTAATAGTAATAGTTGGGATTATGGTTTTTCTGGCTTGAGCTCGATTTAGTACCATCTTGATGGAAAGTTGAACCTAAAATCAACCCACCTTTCCATTAGGGCCGATTACAAATAGCCAAGGGGGAAAAAGGAGGGTGTTTTAACTTGGTGCCTAGAATGCCTAGGTGAGAATGTGCATTTCTGCATAGCATATTTCCTGCTGTCATATCCAAATGATGAAGACGAAAAAGGACAAGCCTTATGATCAAACCCCCAGCACAGAATCTTTAAAAGCAGAAAAAAAGGAAAGGAGAAGTATATGCTTATTTCATTACCGCAATTTTAGGAAGCCTTCCAAGTCGAAAGTTGTTTATTGTACCAAACTCTCCATCATGATGGATGGGGAAGGCATCATTCAGTACATTAGTTTTCTTCAACAATTCCAAATGAGCTTGTGAAACTTCAATTTTTGCCAGAATTGCATCTCTCTCTTCCTGTTGACCAAGTTTTTTGTCATGTGTGAAGTTAAGGCCGTAAAAAATGCAGCAATTAAATAAGTATACATCTTCAGGATCAGTGATGGATTCACAAAAATGTTTACAAATTAGTAACCAGAAGGGTAATATCTATGTAGCTTCCACCTAGAAAGTTAACATAAAGATGTGTAAATTCATTTACCATGTTGAGCTTGAAGGTAAACAATTTACCAAAGAAAGATGTCTTGCTGCTGCTGCTGCTATATGTATCAGACTGCTTTCTGCTTTAAATATCACAATATCCATCTAGAGAATTCGTGTAAAGACACCATATTGATTTGCATGTTAGGATAGAAGGTTTCTAATGATCAATTAAACATTTCATTGTACAAAAACAACCTCTCTATCTAGCTCTTATGGGCATGTAAGATGGATAAACAATAAGAGTGTAATGGAAACAAAGATATTTGATCAATACATGACATTCAACACACCATAGGACGCTCTAAAACCATTTTAGAATGACAGCCAAATCAAACCAAAAAAGTAACGCAGAACAATCATCTATTTCTGACGAAATGCAGTGCTAGTGGAACAGAGAAACTGCAAAAATTAGATAATCAGCAACACACCTGATGAGAAATTAACTGAAACTGAAAATTATTGAACTCCTGCCAATACCTGTTACAAATTGAATTTGTAAACATGATCAGCTAATAACTCATGAGCTGGAGTTTCTAATGTATGATGTTCATTCCCATAAAACAAATATTACATTGAAACGTCAATCTCTAAGATGGTCAGTTCAGAAAGGAACAATCTAGTCAAGCATGCACACACATAAGTATAAATTGAAAGCCAAAAACAGGGAAGAAACTTACCGCTCCTCCAAGTCTTTAAAGCGGTCAGATTTAATTTCTAGTTCCTTCAGCTCAGCATTTACTTCTGCATATTGTTTCTCTGTTTCTTGAATTGCTGCTTCAAGTTCTCTTTCTTCTTCCTCAAGCTAAAAGAGTGTCCAGAAATAATCAAATGAATACTTTGATATCAGATAGAAAATAAAAATATTCAAAATGATATTACCCACGACAAATTCTTTCTTTCTTTCCTTTTCCTTTCCAAATAAGATTGTTAGCATGTTCAAGTAAATTGAACCAGCACTGTTTCTGTGATCTGTCCATAGCTTTATATACAAATTATTATTTAGTTTAACAGAAAACCAACCCAACAGTTAGCAACTTAGTTTATCCATTTAAATTTCTTAAACTTCTGCTTCATTACTTAGAGAACAGAAAGAATTTGGTATCACTAATAGACCAGGACTCCTGATACTGGCAAAAGAAAAGGTTAAAATTAAAGGAATAATAAAACATTTTAATTCCTCGTATCAATGCAATACAATTCTGTAGTAGCCCAGCAGGTATACCAACAATTCAGTATAAAGCAAAGGACTTGCTAAACATCAGAATATATTTTAATTTTTACCATCTAAAGATGCCTTGATCCATGAAATAGGTTTCACAAACCTTCCTGGCATGTTTATAGATGAATGCAAAGGAGCTGGCTAATAAGTAGGCACCTTTAGTTTCTCTTTAAGAAAATCAGCCTCACTAAGAACATCACGAGCTTCCCCCTCCAAGTGCTGAAGGCAGGCTTCATAAGCTTCAATGTCCCTGTTTACATCTTCAACCTCCTTATTGAGCTTATCGGATAACACCCTCATGCATTCAAGGCATAAAGGTTGCTCAACCTGGAAGCACAAAATGAAAAACAAAGATCATGATCCCAATGCACCAATAACAACCCTCGACATCAGCCGCACACACCATTAGTGAAAACCAATCTAAAGACCTTGAGATTTTTATACCTGTGTCTGGGTTGTCGCAATCTCAAATGCCCGTTTGAGAACGGTTATGGTAGAGTTGAAGCCAGCATTATTGGGATGCAGCTGACCATTAGTCCCTCCTTCTAGTGATGGCAAATGCGACCCACCTCCATCAGATGATGGCTCGGACTTGTACACGACCACAAAGGATTCTTCCATTGCCTTGCCAGACTGGCCAATATCAGGCTGAACAGCTCCACTACGAGGACGTGGAGGGACTCCTGGTGCCTGGGGCTTTTGCTTTGGCAACACAACAAAAGAATTGTCCATACGTGTTAAGCCTAAAATGCTGTTGGCCCCATGAACAGAACAGCCCTGCATTCCTGCATTTATCCCATTCCAGGCAATCAAAAAAAGAAAAAATCAAATACCCCTTACAATGAAGCATATTCTAGCTAAATAAATCCGCCTAGATTTTACAAACTCAAAACATCGAAAGCTATTGGAGCAGTGGCTTTGTTAAACCCCCAATTAGTAAGGTGATTGATGATAGCAGTTAACTTTCAGTTGACAGACTAAAATTCAATAATCGCCATAAGCCACTGACTAAATCTTACAGTTTGAGGATAAGATTAAGATATGAGAATGATTAATTCAAACAATTCAGTAACAATTTAATCTCCTCCACACTCAACCAAAAACCCATCCATCTTTCCCAGTGAAAACCACAAAACCAATTCAAATTCCATTATTCGCAAGTCATAAACACAGACAATTCTACTAACAGAGATTTGAAATTTTTAAGAAGAAAAAAGAAAAGCCTAACCGGAACGAGAAGAAGAGTCGTTGAAGAACTTGTCGGCGAAAGAATCGACGCCGACGATACAAAGAGAGTTGCGGCAGTTCTGGCAAACCCATCGAGGAAGATTTGGATCCGCTTGAAAGGTCTGATACCTATCGCTCATAGGATCCTCCTCCTTCATTGGTAATTTGGTTACTTTCTTTTCCTTTTTCTGTTTTGTTTTTGCTAGCTAAACTAAACAATACCAAAGCAGTTTCGAGGTTTTTTATTTATTTATTTTATGGGAAAATCTTTTTAGAAGGGTAGGCTACTAGACTAAGCGTAGCTCGACGGGCTGGCCTGAGCCTTGAGCCTGGAGCATAGAAGACTTTGGAGGTGCCCGTATAAGAATTCCAAACCCGTAAGTCTGACTCAAGTCACAATCTCCCAACCGGCCAGCCCAACCCACCCATCTTTCTAAGGGATGCAATAGTCAAAATAGACAAGGATGAAAATACAATGAAATTTGGATTTTAATAGGGTCAACTATGAGCCCAAGTGACAACCCGAAATTCACAAGCCCATCACAGCCCAAAAGCAACGAGGGCTTTCCTTTCTATTTAAGGGCATCCATGCCTGCATTCCTCTTTTTGACCAAAATCTTCTCAATCAGTTTCCCTTCCACTAAACCTAAACCAAAACCAAAACAAAACCAAAACAGCAGCAATGGAAGATCACAAGGATCCGATGCCCTTCCAGATCTTCGCCAAACTTCTAGGCGGAAAAACAAAAGTCTTGAATTTCAAAAACCCAAGCTCATGTACCGCCCAAGCAATCAAGCAACAAATCTTCCATGTCACTCAAATCCCTATTCACTATCAACGCTTGATGTGCAGAGGGTTCCAATTAAACGACGATGCAATCATCACTACCCCCGAATCCACCGTCTATCTCCTCCTCCGTCTCCTCGGTGGCAAAGGC